GATCATGTGACACTGAAGACTGGAGTAATGATGCTGAAAATACAGCTGCGCATCACAGAAATACATTACATTTTAACAGAGATTCACATAGAAAACAGTTATTTTAAATAGTAAAAATATTTCACATTACAGTTTTTGCTGTATTTCGGATCAAATAAATGCAGGCTTGGTGAGCAGAAGAGGCTTCTTTAAAAAACATTACAAGTCTTTTGACTGGTAGTGTATACAGTTTTTTAATATACATTTGTGCAACTTTTGCCAGAAGGGTATGCATACTGCACACATTATACAGGCTAAATGCTGCAGAAACTGTAAGAGCAGTATGTCAGTACGCTATTTCTCCTGTCACGTCAGATTGAGTTAGTGTCACTCACCTCTCTCAGTGAACCTTTGGCTGTGCTCAGTTTAGAAACAACCCACAGCGGGATGCAAACCATAGAAGAGAGCGCCAGCAGCCAGCCGAGAGCGTAGCCCCACCACGGGTACACATACTCGTTATTATACTTCAGAGGAGTGTATTTGATCAGGGAGAATGCAAATGTACCCTGTCACGACAAGCAGCGCAGGAAATCACATTAGAGCAGCAAACAAAATTTCTACAAATGCATCAGCAACCAATGCAACTGTTGCATTGTGATGCATCCACACCAGTAGATGTCAGTATAAAGCCTAAGAACACTGTCTTGGTACTTAAATTCGTTTCACAGATGCAGATTACTTAAAGTTGCTCCAAGTTTTGTGGCATTTAAAAATAATTAGAAAAATGTATTTCAATATTTAAATCAGCTGAGAAAAGGAATGCCTTAAAACACTCTAAATTACTTAATTGATTAATAAATAATTTGCATTATATTTTGGTATTCGATACTTACTGAATATTCACATATATATATATATATATATATATATATATATATATATATATACACAATAAAATTATAGGGGGTTTAAAATTAAAACAATCTGAAGAGGTTTAAAATTTTGTTTGGAATAGTTATTTTAAGGTTACAAAAAAATCGTAAAAAATCAAATTTTTTAAGGTAAATAAAGTATAGAAGGTAAATGACTCACAAAACATGTAGCTGGAGTGAAAAAGAGCCAGCAGTATTTAATATATGGCCCAGGACGGTAACCAATCATGTCCTCGATATTGTCATAAAACCGATTAGCACCTGAGAAGCAGCAAAGAAAAGCAAGGAAATTACCCCCCGCCCCAAAAAAAATGTGACAGATAATTGCATTTAGATATTTTATCATGTATGTAATTTAATTTTAATAGTATATTAAAACTGGCATTTTCTTGCCTCCTCACCGTATATCCAAGCGATGCAGACGGTCTCAAAAACAGCTACAAAGAGCAAACATATCCCACTGGCTGCGTAGTAGTCAAACAGCTGGAAGACATACATTCCACCCTGACAGACAGACAAGAGAGAGACAGACAGACAGACAGACAGACAATCAGTCAGAGAGACAGACAGACAGACAGACATATAGATAGATAGATAGATAGACAGACAGACAGACAGACAGACAATTCATAAATCTGGCAATTATATAAATCAAATCAGAGTCAGAGTCAGATGAGATGGTCCAGTACCTCTGTGAGCATGATGAGACCCACGAGGAAGGACACGATGGCTATGACGAGGATGAGCAGCTCTCTGCGGTTCTTCCGGCGGAAGAAATTCGGGTACATGTCTACCATAGCCGTGACCAGACTCTCCACACACACGAACTACAGCAGATGAGCATAACGCCTCTAAACTCTGCGTTTATAGTGCCTTAGTGATTTTTACTAGCCACAGAGTAATTATTTGTGACCCTGGAGCACAAAACCAATCTTAAGGGTCAATTTTTCAAAATTGAGATTTATACATCATCTGAAAGCTGAATAAATAAGCTTTCCATTGATGTATGGTTTGTTAGGATCGGACAATATTTGGTCGAGATACAACTATTTGAAAATCTGGAATCTGAGGGTGCAAAAAAATCTAAATATTGAGAAAATCATCTTTAAAGTTGTTCAAATGAAGTTCTTAGCAATGCATATTACTAATCAAAAATTAAGTTTTGATATATTTACGGTAGGAAATTTACAAAATATCTTCATGGAACATGACCTTTACTTAATATCCTAATGATTTTTGGCAGAAAAGAAAAATCTATAATTTTGACCCATACAATGTATTGTTGGCTATTGCTACAAATATACCCCAGCGACTTAACACTGCTTTTGTGCTCCAGGGTCACATATGACAGTTTGGGCTTAATATTACACGGCATGCAAACATTTTCAAGTCATGATTCAGGATTATGCACAAAATAAAATGTTGAAATGTAGAGCCCTATGAATTCCGTTTTATTTTGTCCCAATTTCCGTTTTTTTCCATTTTAAATTTTTTTTTGCATTTGAATTGTTCAGGATTTGTTTTAATGGTTAAATATGATTTTAGCAATAAAAAAACATCTAATTTAAATCATAAAACCTATACAATTTAACAACATTTTATTAAAATTTAGAGCCCTATTAAATCTGTTTCTGTTTTTATTTTTCCATTTTAATTTGTCCTCATTCCATTTCAATGGTTTAATTAAATTTTAGTAATAAAAAAAAGCATGTCTAATCAATTGAATACTTTAACACTAATAATTTAATAACATTTCTTTCGGAAATTCTGTGTTATCTGTTTTAATTTTTCTGGATTTGTGATTTAATAAAAATGCATTATCAAATAAATTAATCAATTATTTTTAAAAATTATTATATTTATACTGAAATGAATGCATAAAACATCAACAATTTAATTCATCTTTTAAAATGTAATTAAATATAAATTTACTGTATATATAAGAATACCTTTTATTTTTGGTAAACAGAGTGCTGCACAACAGAGGTTTACTGTTGTAAATAAAATAAATGTGATATTGTTTTATTATTACTATTAGTACATTGAGAAGTACATTTCTGTCATAATGTCTTTGCCAAATTCTGTGCCATTCGATGTTATACAGTATTTTTTTTTTTATGACTAGATTCCACGATTCCATCCGCATTTTCTACATGATAGAAATCATAGGGCCCTGGAAATGCATGTGTGAACCGTGAAGCACAAAACACAGTGAAGATAGATACCTGACTGTCCAACCCCAGCAGAACAATCATGATGAAGAAGAAACAGGCCCACAGCGGAGAGATGGGCATCATCGACACTGCCCGCGGATATGCAATGAACGCCAAACCAGGACCTGAAAGAGACCATGCAGAAAAACAAGAGCAACATTAGTATAGAAACTAGAAAATGTGTGCCATAATTTATTACAGATTCTCTTTAATATGTTATTTGTTCGGTTGACGGTAAATATTCATCATATGGAGCACAAAAAAGAAAAATGAACCCTCTGACATTTAGAACAAAACTGATTAAACAGACCTTGACATATTAAAAGAAAAAGAAAAAAGGTCATTTACAAACAAACTTGACCCCAGACAAATGTGTGCACTGGGACAGAGATTACAGTGTGTTTGTGAGCTAAAGTCAATTATCTAAAAATACCCGACTGGAAAATTTTATGGTTTACTACAAAAAAATGGTGTAGAAACATTGCTAGTAAATTTCACAAACAATTACAAAGAAACAGCAAGTAACACATTGAATGAAACATGACATTTGGAAGTAGAAAGACTCAAATAATATTTAGTTTTAAAATGTATTCCAATAATATTAGTTTTACACAAATGTTATATAAATTTCATATAAATATAATATAATATCAATATAAAATATAATTTAACATTAATATAAATTTAATATAAAATGTAATAAAATTATCAATTTATTTAATTAATTTTATTACAATATTACATAAATTGTGTTTATGTATATACATTTACATTTACATTTAGTCATTTTTTATTTTTTTTTTTTCATAATATTTCGGTTAATTCAGTGATTGGTAAAGCTGCACTCACCAGACTCGGCCACTTCTGAAATTGGGACGTTCTGTTCGTAAGACATGAAGCCGAGAATCGAGAAGATGGCAAAACCAGCGACAAAACTGGTTCCGCTGTTCAAGAAACACAGGGCCAAAGAATCCCTAAAAACAGACAGACACGAAGACAAAGCTTATGTTGTGAAACAGTGCCTGCCAAGATTAAAGCAATTTAAAGTGATTGGATTTCAAAGGGTGAAACCACATGGTCCTGATGAATCACAGATTTTAGGTTTCAAGTTTAGGACTTATGTACTTGCTGGCTGGAAAATGAGAATCTCAGCTGTTTAGTCTAAGATAAAATAATGGCATGTGGCAACAGAATGAAATTCAGAGGAGCAACAAGAAACAATGAGAACAACAAGTTTCCTTCCTTCATTTGGTCGTAACACACGGTCTGATGTGGGACTTGTGAAGAAAAAAAGATATTGGAACCAAATGATTCTAATGAGTCAAATCTTTTTAGTGAATCAAACACATAGTTTAAAGATACACATTATTTACTAATTATTTCTGCGCTATCTTAAAAATATTAATGAATGTATGAAATATGCTATCAATTGTTAAAGGGATAGTTCACAAAAAAATGAAAATTAAGCTAGAGATTACTGTTTATAAAGTTATAAATGTGGATATTTTTCTTACAAAAATGCATCGATTCGCTTCAGGAGGCCTTGCCATGTGGGACACTTTTTATGATGGATGGATGCACTTTATTGGACTTCTTTTGGACTACTGAAAAATAACACCCATTCACTGCCGTTATAAAGCTTGGAAGAGCCAGGACGTTTTTAAATATAACTCTGATTGTATTCGTCTGAAAGAAGAAAGTCATACACACCTAGGATGGCTTAAGGGTGAGTAAATCATTTTTCATTTTTGGGTAAACTGTACCTTTAAGGACTATTGGATTGCATTTATGCCACCTCTAAAAGACTCAAAAAACTGTTTTAAATTGACTTATTATTGTAGTAAATAAGATAAATAAGAGATAATTATTAAAAAATAATCTCACTATTTGCCAGTGGAAATGCATTTGATTTTTCCAAATATTTATTCCTTAAAGCACTAAAAGATTCATAATTGAGCCATTAAGGAACCAGAATTCTGAATGATTCCCATTCCTAAATCAAATATACATAATTCATTCCTCAAGAGAAAGCGAAAGTGAGAAAGTGAGTGACGTGCGGCCAAGTATGGTACTCTGAATTTGTGGTCTGCATTTATCCTATCCAAGTGCACACACACAGCAGTGAGTAGTGAACACACACACACACACACACACACACACACACACACA